TTCTGGTTTCCTTATTCATATATATGCATTTAACGCCCTCTTATGGATATATATTTGATATATTATTGAAAAATAAAATTTTGTAAATATATTATTTTTTTTCAATAATATTAAGTAAAAATAGATAAAAAAAATAATATTATAATGCAGTTTGGAAATCCAGCACTTTGTCATACAGATTTCCAAATAGAAAAATAGTTGCATATTCATATAATAAATATTTTAGATTTAATCTAACAAAAATAGAAATCAATAGTTAATTTTTTGCTTCCTGAACAATATTTTTTGATTACAGGCCATATGCACTGCAATATATTGCCATAAAATATATTAAATTTTTATGATAGATTTCAAAATCACATGAAAAATATCTAATTTAAAATGATAAGTAATTTTACTATAAAATTAACTGGATAAATTGAAAATACTGATATTACACTATATGGTAAGTAAATCTTTTTCTTTCCCCACTATGATTTTTGTTATTGAATATATAAATAAAAATATTAAATTGAAATTCTTTTAAAAAAATATTAAATTGAAATTCTTATAAAAAAATATTCATTCTAATTTAATAAGTCTAAATAGATTTGAAAAATGTTAAAGATATTCATGAAGTAATAAAGAAAACAGTGGTCAGGATTAGATTAAATAGTTTGATATAATCAAATGTAATTTTGATAAAAACAGACATTATTAATAAACAAGAAATAGGGAACAAAATGAATTTTTCAACTTTTAACTATCCTTTTACATATTAACATAATAAACAAATTGATTTTCTTTAAGCTGCAATAAAGGTATAATATTTTAATTCCTTCAATTTATACTAAAGATATTTTCTGAATCTAGAATTAAGATTAATAATTTAATTAAAGAATTTGATAGTGTTTTTAAATGAAATAGTATGAGGTTCAAAAAATAAACATTTTATTAAAGAATATTTATGTCTAAATTTAAGCCAAAAGAGCACCATTTGAATAAGAAGAAGAATTAGAAAACATTCTTGAGCAATGGCATAAACAGGGTAATAACTCTTCTCAGATTTTTGCAATGGGCTACACCCTTAGCTTTGGTTAAAAAAAGATAATATGTTAGTTTGTGCTGATGTCAGACTTACAGTAAATCCTCAATTAGAAAGGATTTAAGTGACATTGTTGCTAAGGTTAAAAACAATAAGTTATTTTCTTCAGATTATTTGTAAATACCTGCAAAATTCCATGTCTAACTGAAAAGTCTGTTACAATTTAATAGGTTACTTTTTGGACTGACAGTTTCAACTGCATATTTCCAAAAAACTATGGACCATATATTTCCGGACATAAATGGGGTCATTTATTATTTAGATGATTTATTAATTTTTGGTAAGGATGCTGATGCTGAGTATCACTTAAACAAATTGAAAATGTTTTTAAAAGAATGATGTGTATTTGGTAAAAGGGTGAATTTGGTAAAGATAACTTACTTAATAAGTAGTAAAAGCATAGAGCCAATTAAAGAAAAAATTGAACCGATTAGTAGAATGACTGAACCTAAAGACAAATGACTTACATATTTTAGGTTTATCAAAGGTTTTTTGAAATTATCTTATAATTTATGATATGCTTAAGAAAGGGAAATATTTTTATTGGGGGATATATGAGGGATTAAGCTCTTGTTAGATTATAAGAATTTTAGCTTATTATGATAGAGGTAGGAAGTTGTTTATTCGACTAATGCTTCATAAAAAGTGTAGGAGCAGTAGTGTTCCATCTTAGTGAAGATGGCAATTAGAGACCTACTGAATTTATCTCCAAAGTATGTTCAATTGCGAAATATTCGATTATTGAGAAAGCAGGATTTTTAATAGTTTTATCTGTTAAAAAAATGTAGAGAATATTTAGTTGGTAGGATGTTTAAGATTTCATATGGAATATTTAGAATTGGATAACAGACCCTCAAAATTCATTAAGAGGAAGAGCAAATTTAACTACTTTGTTTAAGCATGAAGGTAGGTGAGTATTTCAAAATATATGGAACTGGAGAATATAATGATGATAATAAAGAAAGTGATTTGAAAGAGTTTCAAAATTGTACACAATTCCTTGTAGTGCTGCCAAGGACTGAGTGTGGCTTTCACCTTAAGAATGTCATTATGAAAGATTTAGATCAAGTCTCATGATGATAATACATATTTCCTGTTTAATGATAATAAACCTTAAAGAACCTCCATTCAGGTGTTGAAAATTCTTTTCCATATATTAAAAGTGGTAGATAAGTCACATGTCGGCAAAAGATAAACAATCAAGGTAATGGGCGCCTAATGTTATTAAGTATATTGAAAAGGATATGCTATAGCAAACGCTGTAATTTCCCCCCCCCCCCCACCTTTTTTCATGTACTCCGATTTGTGCATCATATTTACGATAATATAATTATTTTTATATAATTATGAAATACATTCATTAAAAAATCACGTCATTATATATATATATTTTTTTTAAAAAATATATATTTCAATTTATATATATATAACTTTCTAAATATCTATTTTTATATAATATAGATAAAATGTATTTTTATATGAAATTAAGTTTGATATAAAACTATTTTAATGTTCAAAAAAAAATTTGCACTTTTGGAAAAATAGGAATACGCCTCCATATTTACTCTGCCAATTTTAGAGTGCCCCCTACTTATTTTTTCTTTGACCAGTACCTTCACCGCAAATTTTAGGACTTCAGCACTAATTATGATTCTGACAGTGTATATCAAATGGTTCAAGCGTCTAAAAAATATAAGATTTATTTTCCTAAAAATAAGATCAAATCCAGATTATAATTTTAGAAATCTTATATTTAAAAGAAAAACGAAGATGAAAGATACAGTCTTAGTAAATATTTCATCACCCATCTCTATCGATGATCAAACGTCAGTCAAGGGACGTCTTTGAGACGGGCCCTGTCTAAGTTTAGTTTCTTTTAGACACAACCGGTCTAAATATGACGTCTTCGGGACACGTCCTCTCTCTTTAAAAAAAAGACTGAAAAGAATAAGTATTACTCATTTTTATAAAATGTTTAAATAAGTAAATTTCTTATATCATTTTTTGAAAATAAATTATCCTCATTTATTTTTTTTCATATATTATATTACTTCTTGCATGCTACGCAAGCCTAAAGATTTTAGATGGCACATAGGATTGAACATCTATCGACGAAATCCCAACGCTTAGGCAACATTTTCCTGGCTATAATGTTGAGTTAGCCGTTTTTAAAAAGATCGGTCAAAATCTTGCCGTTTAACAACACTAGTCTATGCCATTACACAAAAAAAAAATTGTATTTACAAAGTTCAGTAAATGAAAGGTTTAGCATATAAAGATGGTTTCTTTCTATCCTCGAGGAATTCGTTACTAAAAACAAATTTGGACCCCGAGTAATAATTTATCTCAAGGACAATAAGACTAAAATTAAATCGTGTTTAAACAACTATCTCCATCCATCCATACACGATGTTTTCTTAGACATGTAATATGTTATATGGTTCTTCAGTACTGGTGAAACGGTTATACATCTTTACCCTCTATGATAAATCCAATTTACAAATGAAAAATGAAGTTTACAAATTAGAAAAACTGTAATTATTTTTTTTTACATTTTGGATATACAAATTAGTTATCTGCATCGGGTCTAATTTTTCGAGCCTTACTCGACCCGAATAATTTTTTAAAAAATATCGGCGGCTCGAACCCAAAATTCTTTAAAATTACCGGCCCGGCCCGGTTCGAATTTATTTATATATAAAAATTAATTTTTATAATCACTCAAAATATAAGATATATGTTATATGGTATCTAGTTTCTATAAATAAAATCAAATATTTTCATTTTACATCAAAAAATTCAACACAAAATTGATAAATTTAAGATTATATTTTTTTAAAAAAAAAATTCCAAAGCCCGACCCGGTCCGGGTTCGAGCCGGGTACGGTCCGGGCCTACTTTTTGCAGATGTATTCCATACTACTTATGCAGGTAGTTAATAATTGTAACTGTCTATTGATCTGAAATTTTCGAAATCATATTTTAAAAATGGTAGAGAAAAAAAGGCATTTATTAAAAGAGGGCTGGATAGATCATAGTGCTTATGTTTAGCAAAGAAATGAATTCTGAACAATGCAAATATTTAAAATTTCTCTCAAGGTAATTTGCCTATAGCAAAGGCACATTTTCTTTGAAGGTATATTGTCGACTATATTTCTGTAGCTATTCCCAGTGCTCATCTGCAAGGTGCGCCACCGGAAATGTATTAATTATTCTTATATTTATTTTTTTTTTAGATTACATAAATTATTTCATCAATTTTTTTGAATTTAACCCTAGGTAGTGTCCGAAATACCAAAAAAAAATGAAATTCATAATTCGAAACTTTAATAATAAAAATTAAAAACATGTTCAAAATACAATTCCATAGATTTTTTTTTTCTGAATTTCATAAATTTTACGTGCAAATTTTTATTAAAATTTTATAATTTGCGAAAGTTTCGAAACTTTAAGAATTTTTTTATTTAAAAAAAAATGGATTTTGGACATCGTAGCTTTAATATTTTTTTAATTTTTTTTTTGTATTTTATAAAATTAATAATTATATTAAATATATTATATATTTTATTTTTTATAAAAGTAGTATGATTGATTGGAAAAGAAAAAATGAAGATTTAAAAGATTTAAATTCTTTTTTTTTTTCATTTTATCAGCTGATTTTATTTTAAAAAAAATCAAAATATTTTTAATATTTAAAAAGAATTTTTATTTATTGTTTAGGGTGATTTATTTATTTTTTTCTCCAAAGCGTGACGTCATTCTTTAAAATATTTGATTTTTTTCTTTTCTCCAAAACATGACATTTCATTTTTTACTTTTGTCGTTGTAATCTTTTAAATAAAAAATAACTTTATAAAAATTTTATAATTTTATTTTTTAAACAAAACGTTAATTTTGAAGAAGATAAGAGATGACAATGATTAAAACGTCTAAGAAATCTATCATTTTCTTGACCTGTTTGGTGTGGGTGTTAGAGAATCGTTGTCGAGCTCATTACCCTGATGCCATTACTGACGAATACTTATCGGAAGAGAAGTGCCCAGCTTTACCCAAAGATAGGGATTGTTATTGCGACGTCATGGAAACTAAAACGCCAGAAAAGCTAATCGAAGGCGAACAAACTGCAACTAATACCAAGTATTTTTCTCTGAGGTGTATTTCCATCCACCAACAAAAGGATTTACTGGACGCGTTACGAATCTTAGCCGAGACTGCTTCATATAACATTAGTTTGCATGTGGAATATAGTCGATTTTTATATCGCATTTTGCCCTCGAGTTCGAAAAAATGACAAATGCTGGCTCCAAGCAACGCAGACCTATCAATATCCAAAGCTTATCGCTGCACTACATTAAATATAATAGCATAGCCCCCGAAGCCTTTCAGTCATTGGCCCAAAATCTTGTTTCACTGGCCATATTCGATAGCACGGATAAGCCGACCCTGACAGGGCCCAAGCTTGATATGCTTTACAAAGCATTGAAACCCCTAAAAAACCTGAAAACGCTTGATTTGATCATTCCGGAAGAACTTGAATTCGACGCCTCATACTTCGAAAACTTTCCCAAGCTTGAAGCCCTCTTCCTGATGTTACCCAATTTGTTACACCTCAAGAATTCTAAAGGGTTTAGGTCCTTAACAAATCTTAAAGGATTGACATTCGCGAACAAATTACCCTACCTTCCGAAATCGTTGGTCTCGCTTCCTCACTTAGAAAAGTTGCATTTCTATTCCAGTTCGCTGTCAACTTTCCAAAATGATACCCTGAGCAGCTTTGGCCCTAAATTAAGTGGACTCGATTTATCCAGTAATCACATTGATAAAATTCCGGTCGGCACTTTTCAAAAGATCCTCAAATTAGAATATCTTGCTTTATCCGACAATCATCTCGAGTCACCCTTATGCTCACCGTTGCATTCTTCCATCGATATCTCTGGAGAGAGAAATGAAGACATAACAATTGAAAGAGATGTGCATGGCAAAGCCGAGACCAAAAATAATAACCTGACTCATCTGGACCTGTCTGATAATGAATTCAAGGATGGCTCCCTTACGAAGGAGACATTTGCAAGTTGTACCTCCCTTACAGAATTATTCTTGGATGATAACGATCTTGCAAGCCTGCCGGGTGATATGTGTTAGACGATTCCCGAAATAGCCTTCAGATACTTTCATTCATCCAAAATAGGCTTAAGCAGTTTCCCAGTTCGCTGTTATCCAAACTGAATAACCTCACATATCTCGGCCTCGGTAAAAACGAGATCCAAAATGTGCCCATTTTTGCTTTCAAAAATAATCCCAATCTCCAGTATATATACTTAAACATGAATAAGCTTAAGGAATTCAATATGAATACCTTGCTATCTGCCAAGCATTCCTTGAGCATACTTGATCTTAGCAAAAACCATATGAGCTCCTTCGATTTCCAATATTTGGAGTATTTCGATAACCTGACTCATCTGGATCTAAGTTACAATAATTTGACGAGCGTGAAAGGGTTGGTAGATTTAGAATTGGTCCATCACCATATATATGCCATCTCTCTTGAAGGTAAACATATTATTAATAATTACCCGCCCCCCCTACCCATTATTTCTTTGACAGTTTAGAACCAAATTTTATTAAAACTCAACAAAAAAAAAAATATTTTCCTCTGGCACTTAAATATCGATTTATTCATATTACTAGTAAAATCCAACATCAACAGAATTTACTTATTGAACATAGGCATTCAAAATTAAAACCAGTCTTCGCCCTGCCCTTAAAAGTAATTAAATATACGTGCATTTTTCGGGAAACTTTTAAAACTTTCAGGAGTTTTAAAACATTTAAAATTTAAAAATAATAAATAAAATTCCCTAACACAGACTTAAGATATATTTAATTTTCTAAAAGTGTCTTTCATTCTTATTCAAAATTCGGCTCCTTATTCATTTGATCTTGCGACGTGTCAAAATGGCGCATATATACAAATGGAAATTTTTTTCTTTTTATTTATTATAAGACGCGAACAGGCGTAGATCTAGTTGGTAAATTTCCAGGGTTTGCTAAATGTCATTTTGCAGCTAATAAAAATTAAAACACTACCACCCCCCCCCCCCCTGTTATAAACGAAACGATTTTTTTTTTGTAAAAATCAAGTGAACGTTATAGCGACTAAATAATTGGGGACCGGAATTGAGCCTAAATTTTGGAATAAAATTTGGAGCATCATACCCCACTCGGGTCTTATAATAAATAAATATTTTGGGCCGGTTTCTGGGTTTGAAGGCTTATAAGGTCGGGTTTAGCCGTAGACTTCCTGGCCGATGCTAATAATATTCGGTCTTGGTGGAATGAATCTAAAAAAAATGTCTGCCAAAGTCGGAGCGATCTGGGTTATATCAAACTAGACTCGGAATTGTTTTGAAATCAAAAATGCAGTCTATCATATTTACAGGCCCATAATTAGGAATTTTTACTTAATGAGCATTGAGGGATGGAAGAAAATTTTTTTTTTCTTCCCTTGAAAATTCGTATAGCTAATCTATAGTTATGATAAATCCTTGAACAATAAAACTCAAGGCTAATGCCAAGCCCTTCATAAAGTTACGGTCGTGTTCTGAAAATTGGCTTCCTAATTTTTCTTACTATCCGAATCCTATAATGTTTATAAGGACCAGGAACAAATACATTTTCGCGTTCTTGTTCCGTTCCCATTTTGGAACATTCAGAAACAGGTTCAGACTCAGCCCGTATTCCGACTTTACTATAAATAAATTTATAAATCCCTCCCCATAAAGAATTAATGCTTGAATTTAAAATTTTCTTTCATTTTTATCGCTTATTATTATAATCAAAAAAAATAATAATATTGAATCTTCTTATCCAAATGACATAGGAATATATCTTATGTGGGGGTGTATATCACTCCTCGTGATAGCAATAAAAACGGAAGTAGAGCAATCCAGAATTTAAAATCTGTAACTCTTATCCCAAAAATATTTTACATTCTCGTCAAAAAAGGTAATAAGAATTTTAAAATTTATAATGACCCGATATTAACTTATATCTTTGAGAGAATTGTTTACCAAGTTTTTTAAACAATTATTTCACCGTTTTTTCAATCAAAACGCAAAATAATTATATGCAGTTTTTAATTAAAGTGCCCTGTTTTTTTTATTGGAATTCCCGGTTTTTTTAAAAAACAAAAATTTTAAAACAAATGTTCAATTAATGTTTTTTTTTATCACTTTTGAACAATTTGAAGAGGTATTATTATTAATGATAGTTGAGTAAGTTTTCAGGGATCAGTTTGAATTTCTTCATATCTTCTGGATACCCTCACTTCCTCGAGTGGATATCTTAAGAAAGAAGGATATGGTTGACGTTTGGACATATTTGGGCTTCGATTAATTTTTATCATAAAAATGCGTGTTAAAATACTTTATTATTATTATTTTAAATAACTATAAAATAATTTGCTTATTTTCTAAACAACGCATTTTTAAATAACACATTAAAACTTTTAAAATGCATGTTAACAGGCAACCCATTAGTCTGCGATTGCGATACTTTTCTACTGGCTCAATGGTTTCACGAAACATCTGGCTTGATCGATTTCCCTAGCAAACTAGATTCCGCCACTTGTAGCGACCCTTCAATGGGCCTTAACGCGATCAATATTCTGAACAAAACTATGATCGACATTTTAATGCCACATTGTGAACCACCTTTGCCGTATGACGTTACAAAAAATGATCCATCTTCTTCTTCACCGCCAGCAAAAAGTTCGGGTGAGCAGAGCAACAGAAAGAAAAAGACCTCATCTGTCATTATAGCGGTCATAGCTACGATAGGCAGCATCGCAACCATCATTCTGGCTGTCTTATTAATGACAGGTCGCATTTTCAAGAAATGCGATTTCTCAAATACCTCGTTACTTTCTAAAATTTTATCGCCTTTCAAACATAGAACCCGTACCCTGAAATTTTGTAATACGGGAACTCCTGATCATATTAGATTCGATAATAAAGAAGCCAATAACAGCACCCTTCCCAAGTCCTCGGCATAGATAACATGTATAAGGGTTTTTAATCACTTAGTCTCCATTTGCAATATCTTAGTGACTACTTTGAACTAAGGACATTATATATTGCAAATGGACTCTATGTGACCAAAAAATAGAAAACTTTATATAATTTTAAATAAAGGACATTATTTTGGTGCTAATAAGATAAATATTGTTTCTAAACTATTTTTTATATTTAAGATATAGACTTTCTCAGTTCTTCTTGTTCTAGTTTTTCTAGTTGAATATATAGGGAAAGTCATAGATATGTATTGAATATAGTAAAACATATGCACTTCCCTAGATCCTGATCCAAAGTCAGGAATGGTAAAAAAAATTCTTATTGATTTAGGGAAAATATGTAATATATTGTTTATAAAATATGCCTTTATAGTTGAATTGAATCAACTTAATTTACATTTTAATATATAATGTTTATGTGTATAATATATTTTGAATTTAATACTTCTGATCCATTACGGGACTGCATGTCATATATAGTCTAATTCTAATGTAATTTTTTATATAATATAATCAGAAGGTAGCCGTCAATCAATATTGTATTGTTTTGATTGGGCGCAAATTCTAAATGACAATAATAATGGATAATATGAATTTATTAAATTTTATTTTTTTCAGATGGGATTAATTTTTTTTTTATGATCATGTCATTACTCAAAAAAATGATTGATGGAATTTAAATTTTATATTGTAAAATTATTTGAAATTTTGAATACAAAGGAGAATTTATATGAATTGTTTCACAAAATAACCAAATTATTTTTAAGATTGTTAAAAATTTTACAAGAGTAAGAAAATTATAATTATTTTATTTTTTTTTTAAAATGCAAGAAATTTTAGGTAGCTAATAGTAAATAATATAATATGAAAATAGCATTTTAAAAAAAAAGTTTTTCACGCCGTTCAGTCTGCCGAAAGGGGCGTTCCGCTATAGCGTACAGGTCTAATAATACGTAAAGGATGCATGAAATGATTTCTCTTATATCCAAAGTTCACATTACATATTCATCGAGGGCTACTCTTCTATTTCAGTTTATAAGATATTCTAACTATAAAAAATCGTTAAGGAAAAGTAAAATAGAATATTAGAGTGTAAAGTCTAGTATTTAGCTTCGTTGATTTGATTGAACATCATGTGAGTGCTAAGCGAAAGCTAACTTTCCCCAATCTTAGGTGTATCTATTTGTTCTAATCTTTATCTGTTCGAAAAGTACCGAACTTAGTTTAAGCGAAAAATGGCGATATTGATCCCCCAAAACGACAATTATTGGTCAAATTGCCGAACGACATCGAATGGTACGCCACTGGAAATGCATTAAAATATAAAAAGATTCGAGGCTGTGTCCGAAATACCAAAAAATGGGCATTTTAAATATGGAAGGATAGTCGGATAACAAAACAAATCTTTACGAATGTTTAAGTAATGTCGCTAAAACTTTCTTCCCATCTAATACACTCAAACATGATCCTATAGGCTAGATGCGATAACCCTCCCATTATATAGGATGATAGAATATAGGGGTATAGAAGTAGTAGGGTACATCCTTAGACAATCCCCAAACAATCTTATATATATCAAGCAGTTACTAAAGTAACCTCTGAGGGGTCATCCCTCGAATCGTTTCTAGCATATAAAAATAGTTGGTTTGGCAAAATATCTAGATCAATAGCGGAGATAGGCTTCTCTCGGGAGTTCATCAAGCGGGCTTCTGCGTAATAGACATACTTATTAAAACTATTTCGACACTAATTTATTATCATCTGACGAATTGACTGGTGAAGGTAGAGAGGTAATTATTTATTTATCTTATGAAAGATCTCGAATACTTTATTGGCTGTTAGTTTCAAGTTCATGATATTTTATAGCTATTCCTCGTATAAGGATTAAAGATCTGATATACCCAGTAAATTTTATAGGTTCTGAATTAAGTAATTTAAGGAAACGAATTGATTTTTTACTCCGAAATAGACTAAGAAGTTGTTAAATTACTTAACGTTAGTCAACTGTAAAGCAGCATAGCTATGTATTTATCCCAAAAATATTCGAATCAATCTACAAGTTGAGACTTCATAATTTAGTTTTATAGGCTAGAAGGTTGACCAAACCGCAATAGAGATGGTCAAATTTAGATAATCTAACAACACTAGAAACGAATGAACCTTTATAAGTAACTTTTTTTTGATTATAATAATGGGCATAACAATATAACATGAGAGTTAATTTTATTATGCCCATTAAATGTCTTTTAATAATTAAATAATACTTGATAATACCTTATAATGTAAAATATTAAAAATAATGACCTATTTGTATTGTGGAAGAAATTGCTTTCTTGCCTTGCTGTTCTCCCTCTCATTCATAAAATATGCTCTTCGCTTCACTCTAATACTTCAATTTGGTAGGGTTGAAGTTCCACTCTTTTTTTCTTGAGATAACAAAATATTCAGCATAATTATATGGAGATTGAGCTTCCATTTGATTCACGTACATTCAATTTGGGAAGGTCTGTGACTACGTGCTAGATATACCAGTTGTTTTCGCATAATCTGTACCATTAAATCAAAAATTATTATCTTTTTTTTAAAAAAAATATTCCCTTTATCTTTAGGGTGATTTTTTTTTTCTTTCTCCAAAACATTAAATTTATTATTTTATTTTGTTATTGTCATCTTTTAAATAGATAAAAAATATAATAAAATAAGCTTTAAATCTAACTTTATAAAAAAAAATTGTATTTTTTTTTGTTAACAATGATAATTATTAAACCGTCTAAAAAATCTATCATTTTCTTGACATGTTTGGTGTGGGTGTTAGAAAATCATTGTCGAGCTGACCCTTATACTATTGCTGAAGAGTACGTATCGAAAAAGGAGTGCCCCACTTTACCCAAAAATAAGGGGTGTTACTGCAAAGTAGTGGATACAAATATGAAAGCAAAAAATTTCGAAGCCAAACATATGAAAACTAATGCCAAGTATTTTTCTCTGACATGTACTTCTATCCGCGATCAAAAGGATTTACTGGACGCTGTAAGAATCTTAACCGAGACTGCTTCTTATAACATTAGTTTGCAGGTGAAATATAGTCGATTTGATAATATATCGCAATTGGCTCTCGAGTTCGACAAGATAAAACATGCCGGCTCCAAAGATGACAGAACTATCAATATCATTGGCTTAGAGCTGGCCTACATTAAATTTAATAGCGTGACTCCCGAAGCTTTGCGGCCATTGGCCCAAAATCTTGTTTCACTGGTCATGTTCGATAGCGTATATAAGCCGACCCTGACAGGACCCAAGCTCGATATGCTCTACGAAGCTTTCAAAACCTTAAATAACTTGGAAACGCTTTCTTTAACCCATCAGGAAGATAAATTCGACGCCTCATTCATCGAAAACTTTCCCAAGCTTATAACGCTCACCCTGATCCTACCCCAATTGCGACACCTCAAAAATTCTAAAGGGTTTAGGTCCTTAACAAATCTTAAAGTATTGAAGTTCGCGAGCAAATTGTCTTACCTTCCGAAATCGATAGCCTCGCTTCCTCATTTAGAAATATTTACCTATACCAGTACCCTGGCTATTTTCCAAAATGATACTCTGAGCAGTTTTGGCCCTGAATTAAGGAGACTCCATTTATCCGGTAACCGATTCGATAAAATCCCGGTCGACACTTTTCAAAAGATCCTCATATTAGAATATCTTATTTTAACCGACAATCATCTCGAATCGTTGCCACCCTTATGCTCACCGTCGCATTCTTCCACTGGAGAGAAAAATGAAGACATAACAATTGAAGGAGGTGTTGTTCATTCTAGCAAAGCCGAGACCAAAAAAAATAATCTGACTCAACTGGACCTGTCTCATAATGAATTCAAGGATGGCTCCCTTACGAAGGAGACATTTGCCAGTTGTACCTCCCTTACTCATTTAATTTTGGAGGATAACCACCTCTCAAACTTGCCCGGTGATATGTTAGACGATTCCCGAAATAGCCTACAAGAACTTTCATTCAGCGAAAATAGGCTTAAGCAGTTTCCCACTTCGCTGTTATCCAAACTGAATAACCTCACGTATCTCGGCCTCGCTAAAAACGAGTTCCAAAATGTGCCCATTTTTGCTTTCAAAAATAATCCCAAACTCCAGTCCGTATACTTAAACATGAATAATCTTAAGGAATTCGATATGAAAACCTTGTTACCGGCCAAGCGTTCCTTGAGTATTCTCGATCTTAGGAAAAACCATTTGAGCTCATTCGATTTCCAACATTTGGAGTATTTCGATAACCTGACTCATCTGGATCTAAGTTACAATAATTTGACGAGCGTGAAAGGATTGCTAGATTTAGAATTGATCCATCGCCAGATATATTACATCTATCTACAAGGTAGACATTTTATTAATAACTACACCCCCCCCCCCACCCCCTTCACATTTCTTTGGGGTTTACAATTTAGGGTAAGAACCGAATAATTTTATTAAAATCTAACAAAAAAATATTTTTCGCGCTGATTATTTTTCCCCGCGTTACTTGAAAAATTTTTAAAAAAAATCGATTTATTCATATTACTAAAAATCTCAAACGTCAACAGAATTTACTTATTGAACATAGACATTTTAAAATTAAAATCAGACTTCGCCCTATCCTTAAAGTAATTAAATATATGCGCATATCTCGATTCGGGTATAGGCTTTCTCCTTCTCCAACTCATTCTATCTCAGCCTATAGACTTTTAAATGACAGTCTTCTGAATCTGTAACTCACTCCTAAAATATCTTACATTTTCGTCAGAATGTAATAATTTTTAAGAATATAAATTATTCAAAACCTTTTTTTTTTAATCAAAACGCATATTAATTATACTCAGTTTTTTAATTAAAATACCCTGTTTTTTATATTGAAAATTCTCTGTTTTTTTAAATCACTTTGAACACTTTGAAGAGGTATTATTTATAGTTTTAGTAAGTTTTCAGGGATCAGTTTGTTTGCATCTTCTGAGACCCTCACTTCCTCGAGCTGATATCTTATGAAAGAGGGTATGGTTGAAGTTTTAGACAACACATGGGCTAAGATTAATTTTTATCATCAAAAAATGGGTGTTAAAATGCTTTTATTATTATTTAAAATAATTATAAAATAATTTAAACTAAATTATTTTTAAATCAGCTGATTTAAACAGTGCCCATATTCTAATACTTTTTTTTAAAAATATGCGTGTTAATAGGCAATCCACTAGTCTGCGATTGCGATACTTTTCTACTGGCTCAATGGTTTCACGAAACATCTGGTTTGATCGATTTCCCCCATAAATTAGACTTAACCACTTGTAGCAACCCCTCAAAGGGCCTTAACGAAATCAATATTCTGAAAAAAACTATGATCGGCATTTTGACGCCAAGTTGTGAACCACCTTCGCCGTCTAGCGATACAAACAATAATCCATCTTCTTCTTCACCGCTGGTAACAAAAGGTTTGGTTGGTGACGTAAAAACGGGCGAACAGAGCACCACAAAGAGAAGGACCTCTTCACTCGTTATAGCGGGCACACTGTGTAGCATCGCAACCATCATTCTGGCAGCCTTAGTAATAACGGGTCGCATTTTCAAGAAATGCAATTACGCAAATACCTCCTTACTTTCTAAATTTATATGGCCTTTCAAACATAGAAACGGTACCCTGAAATGTTGGAATACTGGAACTTCTGATCGTATTAGATTCGTTAATAAAGAAGGCAATAACAGTACTCTTCCCACGTCCTCGGCATAGATTTCAATATATAGCGTTTTTAATGGCGTAGTCTCCATTTGCAATATCATAGTGACTACTTTGAACCTGATTGTTATTGAAAAAGGGTAAATTAAATAAGGACATAATATATTGCAAATGGACTCTATGTGACCAAAACATAAACAAAACTTTATATAATATTAAATAAACTTTCTAACTATTTTTTTTATAAAGAAATAAATTTTTAATTTTGATATACTAAAAATCGTTGTTATTTACTATTATTATTATTTTTACGTATTTTTAATTTTATTTTTATGGAAAAAAAAGATATTTTATTCACGAAAATGTACCATATTTAAAATAAATTATAATAAAAATAATACAAATTTGTTGATTATATTAATAAAAAAATATATATGTATATATTATAGTTATACATACATTAGTTATTAGAAAAAAAGGAAAGAATAGGTGGGGGGGGGGGCAGAAAGTATTGAAGTTATAACTAATCTATCTTGTGGGATGAGGTTGCCTATGAAGCTAATGTAATTAGCCTTGTGAATCGCTATGGTGTGTCTTTGACGATAAGCATAGGATGAAAAATCTTATGAGGTTGGGAAATAGACATTTCAGGATTTCTATCTGCAATATTTGTCGAGGGGACTTAAGAAAAAGTTCATTGGTAAGTTTGCATATGTGAGAGCCAACTTCCTTGAAAAAAGATAGATCACATTTCCCAAAAGTTGAAAGGGTAGTGGAAATGATGGGAATGAATATTTATATCTTGAGAAATTTCGGAATATTTAGCTATTTTAAGTGACGCCTTTTTCTCATGAATGTTAAGGGCTTGTTGACGCCAGAGGATCAGTACACGAGTACCAAGAATTGACCACGCTTCCAAGGAATTTGAGAAATCTCAGGAAGTTTCCCATCGGATCTGAAAAGGAAGTTTCAAGAATAGAAAGAATTTGAGCAAATCTCAAAGATCTAAGGTTGATTGAATTGCATAAAATATGTCTAACGATACGACCTTTACATGAACGGAAATGTAGGCTATGTTTTCCATTACCCAAAACGGCTAAACTGCATCATGAACATGCGTGGGGTTGGGTTATTTAGCAGTTTAAACTAGTACCAATCGCATGAGTGAGCTCATTTTGGTTTAGTTCTAATTGTAAATTAACAGAGGGAATAGCATCAAGGAACTCATGGCCTGAACCATTAAGCAGGGGGGAGAATAAAGGATTGTCAAATAATTGCAATCTGGAAAGGAGAGATTCAACGCAGCTTCCAATGATAGATAGGCTTATTCGTTTCAGGAAGAGGATGATCAGCAATAATTCGTGCTTTCCACTCGTTAACATCATTATAGGAAGGGTCGGGTTTTGACAAACAAGAATTTACTATATTTTTTGTTAGAGGACAATTAGATATGAAAGCTGTCAAGGCAAGATCGGAAGGAGATCTGATACCAAGTCCACCCATCTTAGTGGGTAAAGAAGTTTGTGTCCATGCAATTTCATCGAATTTAAGGCTTAGAATATTTTCGATTAGGACTTTAATCCCATTTTCTTAAACACCGAGAGTAATGGGGAATTCAAATATGGGAGTTGATAGAAGCGCATATAGGATACGAGGAATATTGGTAATAATTCTGCAAGAGGAAAAAGGGTTTATGGAAGAGGAGGAGGGAAAATAAATCAGCCAACTCAAACAGTGTTTCAAGTGTGTGATATAGTTCATCAAGGGTAGTCAGTTTGTAATTGTTTGAATTTGGTTTGATTGAATTGATAGGAATAAATTCGGATTTCTCGGTTGATAGAGAGTCCAATAGAAGACCCAGCATCCTTGATCAAATTCACTGCTTTATTGACCCCATCTTTGGAACCGCCAAGGATATAAACATCCCCAGGCATGTAATGATAATGGGCACGTCCCGAAGAAGTGGATAAATGAATGAATGAATATATGAATGAATGCCAATAAATAAATGAATAATAATGAATGAATTAATAAATGAAAACATGAATGAATGATAATGAATGAATGAATACATGAATGAATGATAATAAATAAATGAATACATGAATGAATGATTGACATGAATGATTGCTTAGAGGCCTCAGGTTATAAATTCGGCTGTGATATAGTTTAACTTCATAGTCGCCTATTGTAGGACAGACATGGGTTAAATAGTATCAAAAGCCAGGGTCGTCAGCTGCACCATTCGTCACTAAATAAACCTCTAAATCCATTCCTAAAAAAAAATAGAATTCCTTATGTTTTATAATCTAGCAATCTATCATCAGATGATCGTCTCGAACCTCCAGAGGCTATGGGTAATTCTCTCCTCTCCCCTGAGAATTTGCCAGTGTTACCACTTTCCCCACAAATATCTATAGCAACACAATCACTCAAGCCGATACAAAAAAAATAAAATAAACAGATACCACATATTGGATATCTTCATTTTTTTTTACTCAAATCGCCACTTCCACCAATAAACATTTTGCTTCTAACATCTTCCTTTTTTTTTCTTTTAAAATCTTTGGCCCATAAAAATACGAATCCAATCATTAGAGGTCAAATAATTCTTTTTCTTAAGACCAAAGATACAAATTGTAATAGTTTTTACCCCCCCCCCCGCCCGTCAGTCGTGATTGACGGGGTTCAATCACGGGGGGGGGAAGGAAAAAGAAGACGAAGGCGAAAGGAAAAAAAAAATTATTTTTAGTTTTCGTCGCGTCATTCATATTATAAACATTTTTTTTTTGTGTTAATAATTTGAGATGTCATGATTACCTTTATTTGGGAATAGAATTTATTATCATTGTAAAATTGAATATATTTTTAGATAGGGATTTTTTTTAGAGAATTATTAATATATTTTTTTTTAATTATAAAATTCATTTTCTTGTTTTTGTGAATTGTTTTATGCAAATAAATTTAATAAAAAAACAAATAGTCTCTAGTTATTCTATTATTCATAAATTTGAGGGATCATAATTCTAATATTCATAAAAAGCGGCCAACAGCAATACCGCCAATATAATTTTGTATATTATATCGTTTTTGAAAGTAAATATTATATGTAGTATGGTATTTAATTGTTAACATGTATATTTGAAAATATTTAAATAACTATGATTTAAAATATAAAAAAAAATAATAGCTAGCTAGAAAAGCGTATTTAGTTTCCAAACTAAATAGCTAAAATTTTTTAACTTATAGTTTTATAAACTTGCTAAAGGCTTTGCAGACTAGTTAATAGTTTAGTTAAAATAAACAATGGGAACCCAATTGTTTAGCCAGAATCACTGGAGCATTCAATATTTTATTCTTAAAAACATTCCAGAAATCAAAAGGTGTCTCCTAAATAAAGCCAAGAGTTCAGAGAATTTTTTCCAAACTAAACTGTCATTTGTTCTTTTATTGGATAAAAATCAAATATTGAAATAAAATAATATTCTAAATTTAATATTTATTTGAATATTGATCTGGAATATTCTAAGGCCTGATTTTGCGACCTAATATGTTCTATATGGGTTGTTCCATACAAGTGGTCTCCGTGTTGTACGTGGAGTGATCGGAGTAATTGGCGACATCATTATTGGATGTCCTTCAAAATAAAATTTAAATTTATTAAATTAAATTTTTTTAAATTAATCGAAATTATTACCACATCGGCAAACGCGACATCCTAGTGCATTGATCCGAGATGAACATCCGGGGAAACAACGAAAAACAGGACATCGCATATGGCCTCTGACTATTCAATTAAAAAAATATATAGTAATACAATAATTAATACTTATTAATTTAATGGAGAGTTTTAAAAAAAATATAGCTCTAACGTCATCTTATATAATCTTACTAATAAAGTTCCCGCTGTAAAAAAAATTTGTTAGGGTTAACTTGAACGTCCAGGAATGAGGCGTCTCAGTGTCTCGGGAAATATAAGATTCGGAGACAAGTGGAAAATATGTACTTAATAGATAATGAGATTTGTGAAATAATGAAAAAAAAAGGTAAAAAAAAACCCCTGGAAAAAAAACCCCTTGGGATTATTTTTATACACTCTCATATTTAAGTATAATCTAGCAATAATTTATATTGAATAGGTATTTATACAATTGCAACTTTATAATTTGTTAAAAATATTATGACCTCATCAACTTTTTGCTGATAGACCATTCATGCTTCCTCCTCCTACTGTCATGGGCCTTGCTGAAGTTGGTGTACCTCCTAAGAATATGATGCACCATCCAAATTTACCCCCCCCCCCCCCCAAATATGATGGGTTATTTATATTTACTATTGAAACGTAATGTATATATTCTAAATTATTAGAAGTAACTGCTTGCATAAATAGGCCAATCCAAACAGATTTTTTTTTAAATACAAATTTATTTAAGCAGATAATCAATTTTTAGAAATACATCTGTATATAACTTGATTGGTTGTTAGCAGCCAGTATATAAAGAAATAGAAACTTAATTCATTGCATATTTAAAAGATGAATATTGAAATAAATTCGTGATTTATTATAATAGAAACAAATATACATTCACCCAATATACAATTTAATTCAGTTGAAACCATTAAAATGCAAATGGAAAATACTCGATTTTTTTGCATTTGGTATTTTGATAGTGATAATTTTAATTTATTCATGATTTGTCACCTCATTGATATGCAACTACCTTTAGTTTTTAGCGTATTAAAAGTTTTAAAATGTATTTTTAATCAACAGAATAAAAATTGGTTATTAATTAAAAACGCTATAATTGATATTTAGACAATTGCAAGTTAATAATTTGTTAAAAATATTATTGTTCAGCAACTAGTTAAATGAACAGATATTAAAATGTATTATGATCCTTATGTTTTAAAATGTATTTTTAATCAAAAGAATAAAGATTGTTTATCAATTAAAAACGCTATAATTGGTATTTATTTATAAAATTATACAATAATAATTTGGATCTTTATGCCGTATATAAAGACATAAAAAAAAAATTAAATTTACAAAAATATTTTATTCATAAAATTTATATTTTATAAAAAAAAAATAAATGGATCGTATTCAACCTGGAAAGCTCATATTTGTAGGTTATTCTTATACCA